GAAAAAAATTATATCGCGATACATATTGATACTGAATTATTGTCCAGCCCTATATTTAAGAAACATGCTAAGTTAACATACTTGTTTATCTGAAAAACAATGCTACAGTCAGTTATTCTCCTTTGAAAATGTGCGTTCCGGGCCGGAATGTCGGTCTCTGTTTTGGTTTGTGAAACCCGCCCACTGCCAGTTTACCCAATTGTATTTCGGGACCCCGGGTTGCCAGGTGGTGGGAAACACAGCGTATTTCATTTCATTCATCGTCAAGTGCGCTCGTTCCTGTTGGTGTCGTCAATCTGGCAACCTGTGTGTGCATCAAGTCTGAGGAGGAGGGGCCGGGTGAAAAAAACCCTCTCCAATATTTTGAATTTGGACTGCAATACCTAGTTCAACCACTCGGTGTCAATCCTACATGCAGCACCTTTAATTTACTTTGAGTCAAAATTTCCACAGCTTATCATTATCAATATATTTTATTGCAGTGTCCATGTGATATTGCTTTTTGAACTGAAATTGAGTTTTGAAATAAATTCAACAAAAAGACATTATTGTACAAGTTTTGATTTGATTTGATTTCCTCTTCTTGCAATTTACCCATAATACTGTTTTTTTCCCCCCTCTCCTCAGCCAAATGACCCAGTCACAAATATCTGCCAGGCGGCTGATAAACAGCTGTTCACTTTGGTGGAGTGGGCAAAACGGATCCCTCACTTCAGTGAGCTGTCTCTGGATGACCAGGTCATCCTGCTGCGTGCTGGTAAACCTGTTTGCCTCTGTCTTTCGCACTTTGAATAACTTGATTGCATGTTTTTAAAATCATTTATAAAGCTGCAAACTGGATTTTAGTGATGCCTCACTTAGCAAACACTGATACTTTTCTCAGTATTGAGCCCTCCTCATCTTTGCTGCTTTCATCTGTCCATCAGGCTGGAATGAGCTACTGATCGCGTCATTCTCCCATCGCTCCATCACGGTGAAGGATGGCATTCTGCTGGCCACCGGCCTCCACGTGCACAGGAACAGTGCTCACAGCGCTGGGGTGGGAGCCATCTTTGACAGGTAATCGTCATGTCACATGACTACAGACACGTTAGCCTTGTATTGAGTTTTATTTGATTCACTTGCTATAGGTTTCAAAAAGCAGTTCAAAGTTTTGGGGTCAGTAATACGTTTTTTTTTTTTAAGAAGTCTCTTGTGCTCACCAAGGCAGCATTTATTTGATCCAGTATTATTTTATTATCATTGAGCTGTGGTTATAGTTTTTATTAATATGTTGAATATTTTTATTTAATTTTAGTATTTAGTTTTAGTTTTGTCTGTAGAGAGTACATCAATTTAAACTAAAAATTAGATGTTGCCTTGACAGTTAGCTGAAAATAAGTTTAAAAAAATTTTTTTTTTAAATTGTATTTATGTATTTGTTTTTTTTTTATGTCAAGTATTAAACATTGTTTATGGCTTTAGGTTTTAGTTTTTTTGATCAAAATATAGTAAAAATCAGTAATATTGTGACATTAAAATGTAGAAGTTTTCTATTTTTATATATTTTAAAATGTAATTTATTCCTGTGATGGCAAAGCTGAATTTTCAGTGGCCATTTAATGTCACATGATCGTTTAGAAATCATAATATGCAGATTTGATGCCCCTGAAACATTTCTTATTATTAATGTTGAAAATCATTGTTGCTTCATATTGAAAACATGAAAACTTTTTTTTTTCAAAATTCTTTGATAAATGGAAAGTTCAAAAGAACAGAATTTATTTTAAATTGAAATATTTTATAACATGATAAATGTCTTTACTGTCACTTTTGATCAGTTTAATGCACCCTTGCTCAATAAGTATTAATTTCTTTCCAAACAAATCTTACTGACCCCGACCTTTTGAACAGCAGTGTATATTCACATTGATGATAGTTTACATTAAAATTTTCATTTTGTAGGAATCAGACTTAAAGTTACTGAGACTTGACAGAAGAATTAGCTTTGCTACATTTCTTAATATTACTCTATTCAGTACTTTTCTTAGATTACGTAAAGATATGCACGTGACCTGCTATGCTTGTGTGAAAAACATTAGGCAAGAAATTGTTCGTTGTATTATGTTTTGTAGTAAACCTGTGCTCATGAAACTTAACAGCTTTGCTTCTTATGACACATTTAAGGCTGCAAGGGTGGTTGGATTTTCCTGTGTCATGACAAAGAAAAATACCTTTTACCTTCTGATAGCCTGCCGCCTTGACGCTGCTGTATATAGTGTGCTTTTGTAGACTGACACTGCACGAACAGACAGGGCATACACATACATGCAAACACCTATATGTGCACCAACGCTCTCCTCTGCTTATAGTCTCAACACACTCCCATTTATATAAATAATACAGTGCACATGTAAGAAGTGTGCTCTGTGGTTCACTTTTAATCTGCTGGTTATTACAGCAGTTGTTTATTTCAAGAAACAAATTTAGCACATTTCTCCCTACAACTTCTCAAGACTCTATATTTTGTCTGTCTTATGCACATCCAGGAATAATGAGCTACAGGCTGTTGTTTTAAATGAGCTCATTCTAGATGTTCTGTGCTACAGTTTGTGAGGTTCATATGAAGTTGTCTTTTGTTGCCATTCATCGTGTCATAATGTCTCTGCTTCAGAAATGAGCCTTCCTGTCCTTGTGCTTCACTGTCCATCTCGCCTGATTTTTCCAGCGCTTCATTGTGTCCTGTTGGTGCTGTGTGATGTGTGCACATGCTTCCCACTTTGCTTGATTGGCTCATGCTTTAGATGCTATTTAACCCTCTGTGCAAAAATGTGGTGTGTTCACCATCATTTTATGTGCATTAATATGCAGTTAAGACGTGCTGAGTATTATAGTACATAATGATACATCCAGGTAAACTAAAAGAATAAGCAGTTATATTCCACAACAATAAACATAAGTTTTTTTTTCTCTTCAGGGCTCAATAATAATGATTTTGTTCAAATTTTTGCTTTTGTTCAGATTTTCACTGGCTGCACTTGCAAAAATCTGAAATTAAAATTAAATATCTTTTTTTATATATAGCAACATTTTCATAGATTTTAAGTGTCAGAAATTTTTTTTTTTTTTTCATTAAACATTTGTATGTTTTATATTAAAAAGCTTATATAATGCATTATAAAACTTAAAATGCATTAATTATGCCTTGTAATGCACCTTATGCATTGTGTGCCCTCATGAATAATTGTAGCCATAGTTATAATAAATTATAAAACTTATCTAGTCATTGTCACACTTTTAGAAAGTGTAATGCATTAAAACACTTGACAAACTTTCAAATATTATAATGCATTTTCAGTTTGATTACGTCTATTTATTAAAAGATATGAATGCATTACAACGCACATTATGAATATCTTTGTAATGCTTTATACATATAGGCTTTAAATGCTTTTTTTTTTTTTGTAATATGCATTAGCTAGAAATTTAGTGTGAATAACACATTAATTATATTTTATCCTATTTTAACTGATGCTCACCAATTTTGGAAGAAACGGTGTGAAACATCAAGGTTTGCATGACTTAAAGGAACACTCCACTATTTTTGAAAATAGGCTCATTTTATAGTTCCTAGCCATATCGGAACTTTTCATTTCATCAACTACAGAAGAGTCAAGTTTTAAATAGGAAAAATATAGAAACTCTTTGGTCATTTTTGAGCGAGATGCTAACGGTCTAATCAGATTCAGTGCTACCGCCAGACCCGGAGATCGGCTGAATGGATTCGAAAACGGTAAAACTCAACTGTTTAACTCTAGGGGAGTTGGAAAATGAGCCTATTTTCAAAAATAGTGGAGTGTTCCTTTAAACACGTACATTTTTTACATGACATGTACAAGAACAAGTTAAAGTGTACATGTTTATTGTTGAGCCCTGGGTTTATCCTGTCAAATATTTCTTTGTTCATGTCATATTGTATTTGTTGTGTGCTGGGAATTGTCATTTCAAGCTTTGCTGCTGCCAACCCATGATCCGTCTGCCTTCCTTTCAACAAGAGCCTGTAGCTTGTTACTCTTTGAACTGGGCCTACCGCCAACATACGTGGAGTCTTAACGTCTCTGCCTGGGCCTTTCTGGAGCGGGGAGACATTATATAACAATGAAATGTGAAATGACATTTTAATAACACATTGTGATTGAACACACAGGGAGAGTGCGCACAATGCAGAGGTTGGGGCCATATTCGACAGGTAATGACACTCCGCCACACGCCATGAACAAACAGCAGCAGTCAGGAAAGCCTGTAGCTTGAGACAGTTTATTTTGGATTAAATTATGTCTGGGGCTGTTTGGGGCAGGTAAAGACCAAACTGACCTTGTGTCTGTGTGATTGAATGCGTTGCTTGGACTCGCAGGTTAACAAGAGTGACTGATGTTTTATGTGGCATGCTATGTTTTTAAAACGTTAATTTCTGATTGTTCTTTTTGTCCTGTTAAGATGAAATCTGAAGGGTGTTACATTACCAGGGATTTTTATGATGTGTTTTGAATATATTTTGTAGAGGCTATGAAAACGGCTCCACAGAGCTTTTTTCTATTGCCTCATTGTGATTTGTCGTACTTCGGATATTAACCTGAATCTTATTTTTCCTGCATTTCATCACTCGCTCCTTCCTGCCCTCATTTTAATGGCATCAGGGTGCTGACGGAGCTGGTGAGCAAGATGAGGGACATGCAGATGGATAAAACCGAGTTGGGCTGCCTGAGAGCCATCATCCTCTTCAACCCAGGTCAGACCGCACACTCATACACAATTCAGTTCACGTTCGTTCATAGTAGGGATTCCAAGAATGAATACAATACAGGTACTTTAATTTTTAGTACTTGCTGATACCTGCGTTTTAATTGCATAAAATGCAGGTTGTATTTTTTTGTTTTCTAAGAACAGGTTGCATCGCTTCCAGTTCAGGTCTTATGTATGTTTCTCATTAAATATATTGCGCTTTTTTACTAAAGATGGCTTCAAATGAGCTATCAAAGATGAGCATAACCGATGTCTGTTGCATACACAAATTGATATCTAAAAGTTGTCATTGTTCTCATCACTAACATATGGATATTCAAATTAAATAAAAATGGATATTCAAAATAAATAAAAAGAACCAGCTAAGATAGCTGATTACCTTAAAAGTCCATAGATATTGCGGTCAGTTCATACTGCTGTTAACACTTTCTCCAAGTCCAAGAAGTGGATGCAGTGAGACCTGTTTTCCTGTTGTTGTTTTTTTCATGCAGTGTTCAGCATAAAGCTTTAGTTATACATTATCTGTCCTCTTTTAGTCATGTTCATGGTTAATTATGCCTGTTAAAATGTACCAAATATCTGTTGCTTTCACTGTTAATTTGATCATTGTTATATTTTATCTTTCAATTAATGGCAGAGCACACATTTAGAGCTGCTCATTATGCATTTAACATTTTTACTTTTGTACAATTTTATTGCAATATATCACTATTTTAAATAACTACACATCCCAGAAACCAATATATTGTTACCCTGAAAGTTCTTGATGATTTCCACTAGGGCTGTGCAATTAATTGCATGTGATTGTCAAGCGCATCTCGTCAGTGAAGCCGGTCCTGTGATTAGTAGTAAATCGCCATCACCTGCTTTCAGATACACAGAGCCATAGTTCACTGACAAGCTAGGCGATATCACGTTCACAATCGAATTCGATTCATCTGCGATTATGAACGTGATATTGCCTAATTGTCAGTGAACTATGGCTCTGTGTAGTAAATGCCGCTCCATCTGAAAGCAGGTGATGGCGATTTACTACTAATCACGGGACCGGCTTTACTGACGAGATGCGCTTGACAATCGCATGCGATTAATTGCACAGCCCTAATTTCCACTGTTGAGTCGTCATGGCAGCTTTTCATTTTATGTGTGTGCAGATGCAAAGGGATTGTCAAGCCCAAGTGAAGTGGAATTACTGAGAGAGAAGGTCTATGCATCGCTGGAGGCTTATTGTAAACACAGATATCCTGACCAGCAGGGCAGGTAGAGTTTTTTTTTTTTCTCTCTTCTGTCCCCCAGTTATTGAAGTAAAAATCCCATCTAAAATCTCTCTAGAGGGGAAAAAAGCAATGCCAAGTGGGTTACAGTTGACTGCAGTTTCTCTACATCTCACTTGGCTTTCAGGTTTGCCAAACTCCTCCTCCGACTGCCAGCGCTGCGCTCCATTGGCTTAAAATGCCTGGAGCACCTGTTCTTCTTCAAGCTGATTGGAGACACCCCAATCGACACCTTCTTAATGGAAATGCTTGAAGCACCGCATCAGCTCACCTAACCTGGACCAGTCTCGATCCAGTTCAATCCGGTTTGCACCAGGGTATCGCAGTCCCCCCGGACTCTGGGGCTTTACTGTGTCTCACTTCCCATTAACACCTTCCCCACAATTCTCTCCTACGCGTTCTCCCTACCGCACCTTCAAACCAGTACAGCCCTGAAAAAAGACTCGAAGCTGTCTGAAAAAAAATGTAACGTTTTACACAGTATGAGCTGTCCAGAGAGATCTTATTTTTCAAATTCCCTGGAGATTCTAAATCATAAGCTTCTGCTTCCAGTTTTAGAACTCTCGTATTGATTCTAGAGATCTCTGAGTGTCGTTTTGGTTTGTATGTTACTCTGAATGCACGAACTGTACTTTTTTTTTTTTTGTTTGTCACTGCAGTTAGACGGCCCGTCAGCTGAATTTACAGTGCATGTGTGACCGGGGCGAGAGTCCGCCGAGCCCTTTGGCTGGTACGAATCAAGTCGCAGCAGACCTGCCCGTTCGTTTTTGACTGTGGAATACTGCTAACGTGCTATCTTTGGGATTTTTACTTTGAAATCCTACTTTGTACTGTACTCATGAAATGAGTCCGATTTATAAATGGCATTGGAAATTCTCGGCCTGCTGCATCTGGCCCTTATGAAGTGCAGGCTGGAGTTTTACATTTGTGAATAAATGTATGCAGGTTTTGTTGGACATGAATTTTTGATCATGTTCCAAGGAGGGCCTAAAGGCACAGATTAAATCTCGCAGGAGAATCCTGCTTTATTTGGCGGCAATAGGAGGGTTGACCTTGTTTTTTTTTCTTGATTTGTGTTGTTTTTAAAATAGGCTGGTATTGGTTTTGGTACCTTCTAGAGGACCTTATACCTTTGCCATTTCTTAATTCCCCCAAGATCCATTTCGTCACCAATTCCTCAAATGGGAACCAAATCCACACCATGCCCCCCAAAAGACAAATAATTTATAGTGTGTATGTGTGCTGTGAAGTATGTCCAACCACTCTTGTCCTTTCCATGTGAATGATGTTGAAGGCCTTTTTCTTTTGTGTTCATGAAATCAGCTTGTCATTAGGCTCTTTTGGAATTAACTGGTACTAACTTTGGCATAGTAAAAAACAACGGTGATTCTGGTCTGTTTAAAGGCTGGAATGCACTACACAATTTTTAAGTCGATTTTTATCCCAATTAACCGTCTGGAAGAGTTGATGCTAGTTGCCCAAAGTTGGAGCCAGTCAGCAGATTTTGGACATTCAGGGATTGATTGATTTCAGAGAAAATCGCATTTTGGGTGCAGACTCCAATTTCGTTGAGCTCCAGACTATGATTCCATCCAGTCAGAGAATATCAAACACATTTGATATTTTAAGCCGATTTTAGAAAGCATTTTGTTTTCATTTAACGTGTCTAGTTACAATTATTTTTTTTTTTTTTTAAATGTATGATGCCCAGTTTATTAAGTATAAGATGCCTAGTGTTTCTGTTCAGATTTAGTGTATTCCATCCTTCACGGGTTGTATTAGAATCGCCTTCTACATTCCATCCGTACAGGTTGCTTCCCTCATAGCAACTCACTAAATCTTGCAAGAATGTATTGTCGAACACATCCGTCTTATTCAACAGAGACTTAGGGTCATGTAAGAATTCTGCGTTCAATCTGAAAGGTTGACGTGTCAAAACCAGCATCCATCACAATCTATGCATTTATGTGAGAGCGATAGTATAGTCTTGGAGAAAGACTGAACATGCCATCAGGGAAAGAATCCAGCAAATGCACCAGTATTAATGGTGTGTACCATTTTCTCTACTAAAACCTGTTGGTCTTTGTGGCTCAAACCAAGTCATTTTAGGCAGAGACTTGAGATCAAATACTTGACAGTATTTGAAGTTTTTCTATAAAAGAATAGCTAGAGATTGCAAATGGTCCCACATGTTTTGGTGCTAATAATGATAAAGGCTAGACATAAATGTTAACACCAAAATATAGACGCACAGCAGTGGTCAAAATATGCAATTTCTCCAATAAGCTTGAATTTGATATGCCGCCAACTTGTTTAAATACACCATCTTCTGCATAACGATTATCCACCTACTTGCAGATTCCTATTACTGTGTTTTATACATCCACGAGGTGCTTAAATTTCCAGTTTTGATCTGAAATCTGAATTAGCATCGGAAACAGTGGTTCACAAGGACTGATGGATTGTATTGTGATTCGTAATACATTAGCCATGGACATGCGACTGAATCCAGACTTCCAATGATAGCTTTGGATCTTCTAGTTCAACTTCCCCATGTGTTTGTTTTGTTAAGGCCAGTGATAGGAAGAATCCTGTTTCGAATTTTTTCAATGTGATCAACAACTGACCTCTGGTCCTTAAATTTGGCTTCCCAGTAGTTTAGAGTTTTCTGTATTTTCTTGCATGTTTTGTCTACCCAGTTTCCATTTATTCAGGAATTGAAGCTAATTGGGTTGGTGTTGATGGTCTGCTTTATATCTGAACAGTGGGAAGGCTTATTTGATTGTGCACTGTATGCTTGTGTTTCACATGGGTTGTCAGTCAGCCTATGGGGGGTAGGTGTGTGTGTGTGTGTGTGTGTGTGTGTGTGTGTGTGTGTGTGTGAGAGAGAGAGAGCGCGCGCGCAGCAATGCAGAATAAGTCCTGTGTGAAAGATGCATACAAGAGTCGTTCCTTGAAATGGAGTGCAATGGCCCCCGTCTCCTATTACTTGATTGCAGTTTGCCATAATCGACTTTTGCTTGAATGCATATTAATCCAGACATACGCTGTGAGCTTTGTGTGTTCGTGTGGCCGACCCTCCCTGTCTTTTGGGGTCCACTTTTATTTTCTCTCCCCGAAAATGACTTTTTTCATGATTTCATCTTTTAACGGCTCTCTAGGGATGCAAAGCATTCATAAAAATAAAAAAAAAAGAATAATATAAGGCTTGCACAGGTTTTGTACCATTTGTCTTGTAACCCCTGAATTACCCATGATGCACCTGAACTGATTGAGCACTGCCAAACAGGTGTGAGGGGAGTGTTTTCCTGGGTGTTCCTGACTAACCCCTACTGGTTGACTGTGTACTGTGATGATCACTAAACAGAGCCCCTGTTGCAACTATTTATACAGAGCTGAGTCAGCGATCCGGAGGGTTCTGTTAGTGCGTTTTTTCTAAGGCCTCGTTGCTGCAATTTTCGTCAGCCCTCCTGTATGTGTGTCTGAAGCCGAGCGGTGCTCTGAAATATGCACAGTGCAAACTTGAATTGATCTCTGCCTGAGAATGAAGAGGTTATGCACGTTACCGTCTGAGAGCTGATTCGCTTTATCTGCGTTTGTGGTTTATCACTGAATGTTTGCTTGTGTAAAGAGAGAGAGATGCGTAAGATATGAGTGAAGGTCAAGTGGGTTCATACTGGTGAATTGCACAAAACCTGTCAAGAATGTGTCTGGGTCATGCTTCACCACAAAATCAAAACAAGGAAATGTATAGTCCATTTTTAGGACCTTTTTAATGCCCATTTTCATTTTTCATCACTAAATTGTGAATTATGATGATTTAAATCAAACTCATTGGCCTACAATAGTGAAAATCACTATTTAGAATAATTGGAAGGATGCATTTTTAATTACATTTTAATTTAAAAAAAATTCCCTATTGATTTTGAGGTGAAATGTGACCCGGACATGTTTTTTTTGAGATTCAGTCATTCAGGATCATGTTTGACGGATGTACAGCTGAAGGAGGGCTATATGACGATGATTTTGTATTTGTAAATGGATGGCCGATGAAAACGGTGATTGTTCAGTGGGAGGCTTTTAAGAGATTACGAACTTGATATGAAAGAGCTTTCTTAATCTTCTCCCACCAAAAGAAAAAAAAAATTGCTTCTCACTATGTTTTCTGACTGCTCTTTTCTTATGCTTTACATCTTTGTCTATCCTGACGTATTAGTGCAAAACTGTTTTTATTTGGGGTCTTTTCCCCCCCCACACCCTTCCCTCTTCATTTTTCTTGTCTAGTTTTTAATCTGTCTCCAGCAGTTGTGGAAATGATTGACTGTACTGAGTGTGGAGGAAGAAAAATGTCTTTCTTTTTGCTTTATCGTCATTAATTCAGAATCTGTTTTTGTTGGATGTACCATGTGTAAGTAAAGGTTTTAATACAGCACAGTTGTCAACTTCTTATCTTCTCTTCACAATCTGCCTTCCTTCTTAGAAACAGTTTAAAGTATTTTTCACCTTTCTTACCACCAGACCTATAGAATTTATTTGCTTTAGTTCATTTTTAAAAAAAGATACAATGCACAGTATTTTTCACTTACTTCGTTTCTTCATTTCAAGCAGTATCCCAGTTGACATAGACGATTATAATAAATCTAAAACATTTTAAATACTTTTCTAAATACTGTATAGTTTGTGTATGATTGTTTGATTAGTTACAACATCTAAAGTCAAAATCACTGTTATTTTAGTATTGTGATACTATTGTTTATAATTTTATATATATACACACACACTGCTTTCATATTAATTTTACAGTTTTAATAATTTTGTTGCCTTTTGTCAATTTTATTACTTTGTTTTAAATGTCTAGTATTTATTATTTTAATTCTTATTTAAATTTTAGTTTATTTTAGTACATGAAACTAAATGGAAATGAGAAATGTTGTGTTGGAAACTAGCTGGAGTAAATTATTTTTGTTTTTAACAGTTATTTTCAATAACATTTTTTATGGGTTTAGAAAACTATACTATTCCCTTCTTATTAAACCATATTGTTGAGATTTTATTTTATTTTTTTCTTCTTATTGGTCCTACCCCTGTCTTCACTAAAGGAACTCTTGATTCCTGTGGTTGTCTGGGGTCCCTCTGGCGCGGAGGTGAGTTGGTTCTCTCTTCAGTCCAGCAGGACCCCCGGGCCCCGGGCCTCTGCTGGCGCTGCAGTGTCGCTCTGCGGCCGCTAGAGGGAGGCCTTCTGCAGCGTCACACCTGGAACGAACCAATGATAATCTGCCTCAACTATAACTCCTTCACTTCCTTCTCCCTTCTCTTCTAAATTCTAGGCCACGCACGCAGGAAAAAAAAAGCATAATAGATAAGTAGTCCGAATGTCCAGATTGAGGACGTTCATGAATGCGTGCTTTTAACGTGCACTTTAACCAGTCGTAGTAAATCTAGATCTATTAACCCATTTAATCCCACCGGTCACAATAGTGACTGACAATAAAGAAGGTTGTCATTTATAAAGTTTTAAAAAATCTTACTGACTGATATTTTAGTGCATTTCCTGCAAATATGGAAAAAATAAGGGTCTCAATTAAATATGTAGTGCAAATTCTCACATGACCAGAGCAGTTTACTTCCTGTTTGCGCCATAACATGATGACTGCATCAAAGCTCCAGAATAAAAGGCTAGTAAAGTATGTTACAAAGTTATGACAAAGATTTTTGGTCCACATTATCTTCACAGTTATTAAGTTTTGTTGAGTGTTGTCATAGAATGAGTAAAAAACACAATTTTTGACTGGTTGGATAACTGAATTTAGGTAGGCTATACATATAAATCCACTAATCCAGCTATTAGTGAAGGCTGCACTAAAATGTATTCAATAAAAAATAAAATGTTACAAATAAGTTATAGTATTTATGTAATACTGGTAGCACTAATATAACAATTTCATGATATATATTACTATAAAGTAACAATTTTGAAATACGTTGGTGGTTGTGTTTTGTATTTTATCAGTATTCCTATCAATGTTGCATAAGGGTTTTTATGCATAATAGAAACCCTAGAATGTGATCAAACAGTTCAAAATAGCTGGGCTAAGATGGAGTTTAATTTGAATTGTAATATTATTTCACAATATTCACAAAAAATCATCCCAAAACCACTGAGTCTAAAGACCACGACACTCATTCAAAGGCAAAACTTGACCATATGTATCATACTTATAACTCTTGCACACCAACCAAACATGATGGCACAGTCAGTGGTAGCATAGCCAACCCTTTAGGTCAATTCTGTGAAAATTCACAACTTCATTCACTCACAACAAACCATATCTGATTTGGCTTGTTCAGCATAAACCTATATTGTAGGACCTAAATGTCCAGGTTTGGTTGTTTTGTGAAGGCCTCACTCACTCTGCCTCTCAATCTGTGCTTCTCTCTCCTCTCCCATCAGGCTTGTACTGTACCTACAGCTCTCTGTGTGTCTCTCTCTTCCTGCCTCACAAAAGAGCCCTCTGTTCTCTGCGCCACCCCACCCCCTTCCTCAACACCCAAGTGGTACATTCCCTCTCCTCCTCATCCTCCCCCTGCAGTGCGTCTCATTGTGAGGCTCTTCTCCTCACCTTCAGCTGTAGTCCGGCCACAAAGCGGCATTATTACGGTACAGTGCCGCAGACACCTGAAGCTGATGTGTGAGATCAGGCTCCACAAACAGAACTGTTGTTTCACACATGCTGTCGAGCGCAGCGTAACGCTAAGACGCTTGTCTTCTCCAGCTCTGCAGATACAGAAACACTGAGAATGATTCATACCTAAGGGTTCTACAACTTAGCTTAACAAAGTATAATGTACACTGCTTTTAAAAATGTTGGAGCTGGTATTATCTTTTTTTCATGGTTTTAAAAGGAATATTATATGCTTAATAATGCTGAATTTTTTTTATCAAAAATAAATAATAAAGTAATAATTTAATTATTTAAATAATAAATAAATAGGGAATTAAAATATATATTACTATATGAAATCATACAGCAAAATATATTATTATTATTATTAAGATATTTTGAAATGTAACTCTTTCCTGAAATGAAAAAGCTTGAATTTTATAGTTTTTTTAAAT